AAAAGAAGTGTAGTTTGAGTGTTTTCTGTTCGAGATCCTCCCAAACCATGACTCACTCAGAGTTCTTATGACTGATACAAGCTTTATATCTTCTACATTATTGAAACCATTGCTTCACAGCAAACCAATAAACGCCGCCGGGTACTGTAGCTCCTACAGTAATCACTGACCAATGGCGTCCACTGATATGTGTACCCTTTCCAAATCAGGCAAGAACAAAATTGTTCCTACCTATGACCGTAGTAGAGACATGACCCTCGATAAACGTTTTTCTGCAAGCGTTTCGCACAGTTTCCACATCTATTGCCTAAAAAAAACAAAGATATAAGTTAGAAAAAGTAATTTTAGGAACGCTTTCGAAGGGTTTAAAAAAGTTAAAGGAATTTTCCCCGTATATTCTAACTTTTCTGTCGATCAAATTAAGAACTCTCATGAACCCTGATAGAAAGTTATCTAGTTGTCTGCATGTACTACAGTCGAATATAAACTGATCTTTAGATTTCTTATTTTTTTTTTTAATTTCACAGCTGATTCATTACTAGAACACAGAGTCTTCTCGTTTGCACAAACACTTGAGTTGTGACTCAATCGGTCGACCATGTGCCTGGCTCAGGATATTTTCGTGACAAGAAAACAGGTGGAGATTGTGTGTTCAAATGCCACGGACGTATGTGTAATGTGAGACGAGCAAGGTGTGGTCAGCGCTGTTCAACATGATAATATTTCCTTTACTCAAAAATAGGTCAGTCCAATAGTCACTTCAAACGGTCAAAACATCAATTACAAAGATCTGTGGACTTTCGCTGACAGCTCTTGTTTACCTTTATTCGTAGCTCCAACTCCGGAACAGGAATCCTACGACCATAGCATAACAGCTGTCGACCAATATCTTCGCAGATTGGAGTGGATCCATCTAACATCAAGAGTAAATTGGTAAGCAATGTTTGCTTGCCTCGATCAACAGTCTCCGCATCGACTTCTAAATAGCTCTCCAGATTGGTTGATGACAAATAAATGATAAAAAGGCAATGACTGAAGCATACCATTAGCTAGCCAACGCCACTCGTCCACAATGGCATCCACCAGGGATTCCGACGCATTCTCTTCGGTGACAAAGTATACACCTATTAGGCCTGTGTCCTG